TCACTAGATCTAACCAACGCCTTTATCCACTGTGCCATGGGTCCTTGAGGGCATCTGTGTATGAATTTCTGGGTATTATAAACCTAATGTCTTCATAAACCATCAGAAATCAGAAATATAGACAGGTATCTATATATCAATATGTTCGCTATTGTATTCATACAAAAATGTAAATACATACACACAGATAAATATAGAATTTGGTCTATCAATTGTCACACTTGGAATAATTAGAGCAAATTATAGGTTTGATTTATTTCATAAACACATGGCACAGTTGATAAAGGTGTTAGTTAGATCCAATGACAGGACCCAAAGAGTGTGAGTTCAATACCCAGTTAAGGCAGTAGAGAACTTTCAAAGAGGTATTAACAGGAGATAACTGATACTTAAACATGGCAGGTGAAACTAGAACAGTCTACAAGGTTTCTGTTCGACGTTCCAACCACCTGAAGAAGACCGCAGCGTACCACGGCCGAAACGTTGTAATAAATATGGCGACAAAGATGAGGACAATAGTCCGAATAACATAAATAGTTTAAATAATACCTCAGCTCAGAAATATAGACAGATATGTGTCATTTGTTGCCTACATTTCAGTGCCTTGGAGGTCATATCTCTCCACAGTTTCCTGAATAATGACATTATTCTAATATATGTCCATTTCCTAATGATATGCCCCTAAAAGACTTAAGAAATTAGACTAAGCACTGATTATTTTTCCTTATAATCTCTGAATTGCCATACATTTTTTAGGAAAATACTGGTGTGTTTTCCCGTTTCATTTACCACTATATTCTTTCTCTTAGATTGGTTGACATCCAAGGTTGATGAATCCTGTCTAATCTGCTATTTAACTCCTAACTAGGAGGAAAAGACTGATTTATATCTTTCTCAGTGAATGATTGGGCAGGAATTTAAACTCAGCGCTCATCGATTTAATGTTTCGCGCCGATATCAGTTACACGACCTGTAAATCCTATATGTCCATATTACGTATCTCTTTATATTAAACGTACTGAATTGTGAACATTATTTTCTGTGTATAGATAGACACTTGGACATTTTGGAAGCGTGGTATTGTATTCCATTTAAAATTTGGGGTTTCACATGATAAATAACGACACATTTTTTTTCTCCAAATCGTTACCGTTTTTTGAGGAAATGAGTTTAAAGATTAAATGTTTCAAAATCGTAGCGTTGGAATTTTATTCCAAAATGCCTTTAAAAACTTGAAAAATTATCAGAGGTACGCAATTATCCAGGGAGACATTTATTTAGAGACCAAATGCCCAGTGAGGCAATTGTATGATACGCAGCTGTCCTAGAACCAGAAATGCGTCCCTGTATAACTGCGTACTTCTGATAATTTTTTGAAGCTTTTAGCCCTCGAACACTAACCATGGGTATATAGTACCCAGCGCAAATTTTCCTATTTTTAATTACAATTTGCAGTACCTGATTTTCTTACCTAAATAATATGTTTTCCAGTCCCTATTAATCTTAACTCAAAGTACAAAGTTTGAAGTGCCTGCATGTAAAATATTTCAAATAAAGATTTATATTTAATATTTTTTTTATATTTTCAAAATCGGGTATGATATACCCATGGTTAGTAGTGGTGTAACTTTAATTGATGGTTAGTGTTCTAGAGTTAAAGGCAATTACAATAATTATTTTTATAAGCATAGTAATCATATTTTTTTTTAATTTGATTAAAAGGAATAAAAAAATAAAAGGTTTATTTTGTCTAAAATGCAATGACAAATTAACAGTGTTGCAAGATCGTTCTACACTTCACCAGATGATTTTTTGGTGGATCGACAATTGCGTACTGGACATTCGTGTCCTGGACAATTGCGTCACTGGACATTTGACCCTCTAGACAAATGCGTCCCGCGATAATTGCGTACTGGACATTCGTGTCCTGGACAATTGCGTCACTGGACATTTGCCTCTCTAGACAAATGCGTCCCTCGATAATTGCGTACTGGACATTCGTGTCCTGGACAATTGCGTCACTGGACATTTGCCTCTCTAGACAAATGCGTCCCTCGATAATTGCGTACTGGACATTCGTGTCCTGGACAATTGCGTCACTGGACATTTGCCTCTCTAGACAAATGCGTCCCTCGATAATTGCGTACTGGACATTCGTGTCCTGGACAATTGCGTCACTGGACATTTGCCTCTAGACAAATGCGTCCCTCGATAATTGCGTACTGGACATTCGTGTCCTGGACAATTGCGTCACTGGACATTTGCCCTCTAGACAAATGCGTCCCTCGATAATTGCGTACTGGACATTTCGTGTCCTGGACAATTGCGTCACTGGACATTTGCCCCTCTAGACAAATGCGTCCCTCGATAATTGCGTACTGGACATTCGTGTCCTGGACAATTGCGTCACTGGACATTTGCCTCTCTAGACAAATGCGTCCCTCGATAATTGCGTACTGGACATTCGTGTCCTGGACAATTGCGTCACTGGACATTTGCCTCTCTAGACAAATGCGTCCCTCGATAATTGCGTACTGGACATTCGTGTCCTGGAAAATTGCGTCACTGGACATTTGCCTCTCTAGACAAATGCGTCCCTCGATAATTGCGTACTGGACATTCGTGTCCTGGAAAATTGCGTCACTGGACATTTGCCTCTCTAGACAAATGCGTCCCTCGATAATTGCGTACTGGACATTCGTGTCCTGGACTATTGCGTCACTGGACATTTGCCTCTAGACAAATGCGTCCCTCGATAATTGCGTACTGGACATTCGTGTCCTGGACAATTGCGTCACTGGACATTTGCCTCTCTAGACAAATGCGTCCCTCGATAATTGCGTACTGGACATTCGTGTCCTGGACAATTGCGTCACTGGACATTTGCCCCTCTAGACAAATGCGTCCCTCGATAATTGCGTACTGGACATTCGTGTCCTGGACAATTGCGTCACTGGACATTTGCCTCTCTAGACAAATGCGTCCCTCGATAATTGCGTACTGGACATTCGTGTCCTGGACAATTGCGTCACTGGACATTTGCCTCTCTAGACAAATGCGTCCCTCGATAATTGCGTACTGGACATTCGTGTCCTGGACAATTGCGTCACTGGACATTTGCCCCTCTAGACAAATGCGTCCCTCGATAATTGCGTACTGGACATTCGTGTCCTGAACAATTGCGTCACTGGACATTTGCCTCTCTAGACAAATGCGTCCCTCGATAATTGCGTACTGGACATTCGTGTCCTGGACAATTGCGTCACTGGACATTTGCCTCTCTAGACAAATGCGTCCCTCGATAATTGCGTACTGGACATTCGTGTCCTGGACAATTGCGTCACTGGACATTTGCCTCTCTAGACAAATGCGTCCCTCGATAATTGCGTACTGGACATTTCGTGTCCTGGACAATTGCGTCACTGGACATTTGCCTCTCTAGACAAATGCGTCCCTCGATAATTGCGTACTGGACATTCGTGTCCTGGACAATTGCGTCACTGGACATTTGCCCCTCTAGACAAATGCGTCCCTCGATAATTGCGTACTGGACATTCGTGTCCTGGACAATTTGCGTCACTGGACATTTGCCCCTCCAGACAAATGCGTCCCTCGATAATTGCGTACTGGACATTCGTGTCCTGGACAATTGCGTCACTGGACATTTGCCCCTCCATACAAATGCGTCCCTCGATAATTGCGTACTGGACATTCGTGTCCTGGACAATTGCGTCACTGGACATTTGCCTCTCTAGACAAATGCGTCCCTCGATAATTGCGTACTGGACATTCGTGTCCTGGACCATTGCGTCACTGGACATTTGCCCCTCCAGACAAATGCGTCCCTCGATAATTGCGTACTGGACATTCGTGTCCTGGACAATTGCGTCACTGGACATTTGCCCCTCCAGACAAATGCGTCCCTCGATAATTGCGTACTGGACATTCGTGTCTTGGACAATTGCGTCACTGGACATTTGCCCCTCCAGACAAATGCGTCCCTCGATAATTGCGTACTGGACATTCGTGTCCTGGACAATTGCGTCACTGGACATTTGCCCCTCCAGACAAATGCATCCCTCGATAATTGCGTACCTCTGATATTTTTTGTTCATGTTATTATTTTGTCTTTGATTAAGAGTTGCTAATTGCAAAGCAACTTTTAATTATTCTAAACAAGCAAAAATGTAGTTAACATAAATTTTGAAAGAGAAACAAATTAAGTGTAGTTTAATATAGAAATTTGCACACCAATACTTTTAATTACTTTAAACAAACAGAAAGTTAGTTACCATAAATAAGAAGTAGAGACACAGTTCTTTTTTAAAACACGAGAAAATTAAGCTAGCAGTTTCAGTTGACTCCAGTAGTGAGTACCAAAAACATCTAATAGATTCTGGATTTTATACGTTATATTTTTATTTGGAACCCATGGGTATGTTCCGAAATCAAACACTGGTGGGAAAATATTTATGGACGAGGAAAATTGCAGCCACCATTATCATAAGAAAAACGCCAATGAAACAAAAACATACTGGCGATGTGTAGAACGATCTTGCAAGACTGTTCAATAGTCATTGCATTTTAAACAAAAATAAACTTTTAAGTTATTTTTTTAAAATTTAATTCCTTTTTTTTAAAAATTATCATTATTACGGTCCTAGAACAGTTGACGACTGACAAATGCATCCTTTGAAAAATGCATAAATCTGATGATTTGTTGAAGCTTTTAAAGGATATTACTATAATTCTGAAAAAAAGCATAGACAGGAATCATAAATTGATAAACGCAGTTCTAGTTTGTCATGTAAGTGTCATCATTTTACAGTTGAAATTTCTAGATGTAACCGTAAGTTCTATACTAACAGTTTCTTCTCTCGAACTTCTCGCTTATGGAATGTTCTTCCGACTTCTTACTTTCCAGGCACCTTTAATCTTCAAAAACTTAAATGCAATATCAATCTTTTTCTCGTGTTCTTTTCACACTCACTCTTCCTTGCTTACGGCCATATCCCGTTGAAACACCCGTTTCCGTATGATCATCCGTACGATCACCGAAGTTAAGCAACGTCGAGCCTTGTCAGTATCTAGATGGGTGTCCGTTTGGGAATATAAGGTGCTGTACGCGTGGATGTGTATGTGGTGTTAATCAGAGAGCCGAGATCCAGTTCTATCTGGTTTCGTTATATTCACTTACAAGCAAGTACCCTTGGGAAAGGTATGAATCCACCACTTCCTCTCCTAGCTCTGGGCTAATTACTATAAGTCATTATTATATCTAAAAACATTCTCATTATCTGAATATGTTTCCTAGCTTTGAACAACCCGCAGAGGATTGATAAGACGTAGAAAACAAAACATTCAAATGAAATAAAATCTCTTGGGCTTTAGTGACTTTATTGCCTTGCTTGAAGTAAAACAGAAAATAAAAACAAATAAACCTATTCTGCCAGCAATGCGTTCTTTAATTCCTATCTACACCAATAATTCTCAAAATGTGTGTGTGTATGATCGAATGTTGTTTATGCATTCCTACAGTTTTCATACGATTTTGATGAATTGTTTTTTGTTTGATAGATAATACTTCCGTTCTGGTTTTGAGACCAAATTGTTAGTGACAGTGGCTCTCCACTACTTCTTGTCCATTATAACTCTCAGCAACGTTTTACTATTTACTATCTGTTTTTGGATATATATCTTTCATAAAAACTTTAATAAAAATAAATAATTTAAATTATTTCAATAATATTATTTATTATTTTACAGTTCCTTTTTCAGTGCCACCCCTCATTCAAATTGTTAACACAACAAATCGGCGTTACCCTCAGTTGCACCCAATTGTTTTTAATAATATTGATTTTCGGGTGGACTGTCTTTAAACTTCAACTGCTCCAAATGAATGGTAAAAATTCCCAGTAATGGAAGACACGGTCGAAGGCGGGTTATACTGCTAGTTTACCGATACTTTACTTTCAGTGTATATTTTTAATAAAATTATATGCAATAATTTCGTAATATAAATATATTTGCATATTTCGTGATCACTGCCAGTCTATTTTCTTGGTTTTCAATAAGCATAATGAAGAATCAGTACTCATACTTACGAGAATCTGTGTCGCAAATTTCAACATGTTTTGGTAAATGATTCCATTTAGTCTTTAAGCGCAAATGTTACCCTGTTCGTCTTTATTCATTCGGAACATTGTGAATGACCTTTATCGGACAAAGACCCACAAGAGTCGACTACTGAGAATTCTTTTGTGAGTAGAGCAACATTACAATGTTGTTGACTTATCCTAAAACTTCTCAAATTGATATGATGCATACGATTTCGAGTAGATGTTAGGTAATTAGTTATGTATGACTTTAGTTGATCACTATAACATTCTGTTGACAGACTAAATGCAAGTCAGACATGTTGGCATTAGCCTATATCCTGTGAGCGTTTGTCCATGTGCTGACGTTATAACTGCGTTAGCATCCCGACTTTGAGAACTAAGTTCGGATTTCATCTTACTCGATGTGAGCAAAATGTAAATTCTTCATAGTATCGACCGAAATAGATAATACCAGCGTGCAGCAAGCTTCTTAAATAGCGAGTCTTGACCGAAGACTTGTGATTGAAATTCTGTAATCAAAAGTGTTCAAAAGCCGATGCTGGTAGTGCTGGTGGTAAGACACTAATCGTCGTGACGGAAGGCCTGTGCGCATTGGCCTTATACAATTGATAATCACACCAATTCATGCGATCTCTCCCATAAACTGTATCTAAAACAGCAAATAGTTAAGTATAAACCGCAAGTTGGCTCTGGGTAATGAAGAAACAAATTTGTGTCTGAGAAGATGTCTGCAGTATGGATTAAAAGCAGTCGGATATACTCGGTAAAAAGCAGCCAGCCATTGATCTATATAACGTCTTCTGTGAGCTATCACGACCTTCCTCGGTTTCCTGTTCTTTATAGCTGTAAGATATTTTTATTTATTTTTGTTATCTGTCCTAAACCCTGTTCTGTCAACCATTTACACAAACCCGTTACGCATGTTAAGCGCTGATTTCCTCTGTCGCTCTTGCTTTTAATATATCTTGCCAGTGCTAAATTTTCCAAGCTCTCTTTCCTTATTATGTGACCTAGGAATTTCAACTGTCTCTTTCTGAATGTTAAGTATAAATGTCTTTTTTGTTTTCTTTAAAACTTTCTCATTGCTCACATATTTAGTCCATGATATTCTCAGCGTCATTCACAAACAGGACGACGGATAAGGCATAAGAGTTTGGTATTCTTTTCTTTGTTTCTGACAAGATTTTCCTCTTTCTTAATATTTGGCTTAACCATTCACTAGGCAATATTCACTACCCCAATGCGCCTTCGGATTGTGGTGTCACCTGTCAAAACACTTCATAGATATTGAACATTTTCTACTTCCTTTATATTTGGCGTCTACATTTGGAAATTCGCATGTTGGGCTATTCTTACTAACAAGCAAACATTCAGTCTTTTAAAAATTGATGGTTAGTCCTTACTACCTTCTGCAGGATATCTTGTATTTAGCTGCTTCGTTATATATATATATATATATATATATATATATATATATATATATATATATATATATATATCAAATATGTGGTGCAGTTCAACAATTTATATTACATGAACCATACATACAAAAAGTAGATTAGTAAAGTTAATAATATAAAATGGCGAAATCTCTTCGCAAACAAAATTTTAAAGTTGCATTAACCTACAAACCACTCGATGAATGTTATGATCCTTGTTTTTAATAACTACAAGTTATATAAGGTCTTTTTTAATCTGCTAGTACTTTCAACTGTACATACAGTCATCCTCAGTCATGGAAATTATTTTGTTTTTAGTAAATCCAGTTACTAGCGGAGACGAAAGATAAAATGCTAATCGAAATAATTTTTTTTTTAAATGTGTTATTGTTAACGGATAAAAACTTTTGGAGCGTGCAGTGGCAACGCTAAGGTTGAATTTTTTTGAAAATTTAAAAGAGTGTGTTTTTTACTAATAATTTTTTTTTAAATTTCACTCTTAGTGCTCCGAAAGTTTTTTTATCCTTTAACAATAAAACATTTAACACATTTCGATTTTCATTTAATCATTCGTCTCCGCTACTACCTGGATTTACTAAAAAGAAAATAATTTCCATGCCAGAGGATAACTGTTTGTGCAGTTGAAAGTGCGAGATTAAAAAAAACCTTATACAACTTATAGTTATTAAAAACAAGGATCATAACATTCATCGAATGGTTCGTAGGTTAATGCAACTTTAAAAATTTTCTTTGCGAAGAGTTTTCCCCATTTTATATCATTAACTTTAATAATCTACTTTTTGTACGAATGATTCATATATATATATATATATATATATATATATATATATATATATATATATATATATATATATATATATAGGTACTATTGGTAAATTGTCGCCATTTCATATTTTTAATTTCGCGCATTCAACTGTTTTTTGATTTTGTCGTTTGCGCAGTATAGTAAGGTCAGTCGGGAATCGTTTGCGAGTAAAAGAGTACTATGACGCAATTCAAAACGCCGGAAATTTAGAAACGGCGTGCTGTACTGCTGGGATTTTGCTATTTTTTTCGAATGTTATATAATTATTCTTATAACTTTATCAAAATAATTTTATTGAGCTTTATATTTTGGAATTATATAATTTACCTTTCTATCCTTATTTTTCCTTAAAAAAATGTTCTTTGAAGTTTTAAAATAAAAAGTTATTTCACATTTAGACTTTTTCTTAACATAGTTCTGATCTTTATACTCGCTACTGTATATATATGTGTATATATAATGAGAGTAGAATTAATATTTTACGGACTTATTTTATGAATCCATTGCGTTATATAACAGCTTATAAAAAAAAACTTTTTTTAATATTTTAAGTTTCTTCTCCTTAAATTTTGATTCCCTAATTCTAAAACATTAAGTACATTTGAATGTACCTTTCAAATCATTCGTGTTTATTTTCAGTAGAAAATTAGGATGAAAAATAAGCGGAGAATAAACTGAATAGTATTTCCTTGGAGTGAGATCCCAACTTGAACGATCTTTTTTATCAGCAAAAATCAGGCACACAATGCATAAGAAAATAAGTAAAAAGAAAAGTTCAGTTAAATTCGAAACTTTCATTCATTTTTCTTACTGTCGTATAATATCGATTCACAGCTAAATTATTGCTTCCTTTTCTTGCTTCGTTTCTGATGGTATCGCGTAAGCACAAAGATGAAATCGAGAAAATAACAGGGAAGAGAAAACGCTTTAATGAACTTCTGATCTTCACTTGTAGTTAATTCAGCAAATTTATCCAAAGTGGCTGCTACCTATGAGGATAAAGCATGAGTAGAATAATTTCAAAGAACAATCTTTTCATTGAAAATATATATCGACATAAAATCTTGATATGATCTGATAGATCTGAAAAGAAGAGACTGCGATGTAATTCCCGCAGACTGAAGAGAAAGTCGTTACAACATTATAGAACATAAATGAATCCTTAATATTCATAAAAACTGTGTACATTATCTATAGAAATTGTTGTGTCCTAATGAGTCTCGTTAAAGGGCAGATAATAAAGAGAATTCTGCAAAGCTGAAATGTTTCTGAACTGTAATTTTCTAACGGCTCCTTGTGTTAAAATGATCAGTAGCTTTCTATTCAAAATCCCTTGTGGGTTATCTGATATGGAAAACATAGGAAATCTTTTTGGCTTAAAATATATGGCGATTATGACTCTCCCCAACTTCATGTCCGTTTTTTTGTTACTTTTAGCAATACTCACTCCGTTATTACCCTTTTGTGTTTGTTGTAATGGATGTCCCATAGACCCTATCGCCTTTGTGGACTGACTATATCAGTAGCCATATATAGTGAGCATAGGATATACCTGGGTCTTGCTTTGAGAATTACTAGCCTGCCACCCGATTCCCTGTCTTTCATTAATGTATTCTCTTTTACAATAAACATCTCTTCTTTCATCTAGGCGCGTGTTGCTGTTCCTTCACTCAAGTACCAACTTTGTATGTTTGTAACCCCCTTTTAAGGGTACAACAGTGTTTCTATTACATTCATCACC